GGGGACCTGATGACTGTCTATAAACTCACTAGGGGGGACCAGAAGGGTTTGGGAGAGACACTTTCCCCTAGTGCCCCCTGGCATAACAAGGAATAATGGACACAAGTTATTGGAGAGTAGGTTTAGATTAGACATCCACAAGAACTACTTCACAGTTAGGGCAGCCAGGAGCTGGAACCAACTTCCTAGGGAAGTGGTGCTGGCTCCTACCCTGGGGGTCTTTAAGAAGAGGCTTGATGCCTACCTGGCTGGGATCATTTGAGTCCAGTTTTTCTCCCGCCCAGGCAGGGGGTCGGACTTGAAGATCTACAAGGTCCCTTCCGACCCTACTTCTATGATTCTATGAAGTGACCCACAGAGCTCAGCAGTGACAGCGGGACACAGGGAAAGGAAATCTCCTAGGTATCTAAAGTCCTATAAAACAATCATTACTTTAACTGCCTAGTACTATGGTTCTCAACTGCTCTGGATGCAAGGCACACGTCACTGGACTCAGGATATACCTCCTAACTCTGTAAAATGAACAGCACACAACTTCAAAAGTTATATTACAACACGCGCATCTTAACCCAGCGGCTGGGCAGTGAGGGCTTATCTTGAGCCTGTGCTTATCCATTTGACCTCCTCACACCTCTTGGCACCTTTCAAAGGATCTGGTGGCTCCCCAGGGTGCCATGGCCCCCTGGTTGAGAATCACTAGCCAAACAGAATGAGGGCCTGATGTATGGCTGGCACTTATACGCATGATAATGATACACAAGGATCATCACTATTACTGTGAATTGCACCTGGGAACAGAAGTAGCTGGGACACAACCATCAATGCTATTTTATTACTGTTGAACTATCTGGGCCCCTCTTAGCTAAACCAGTTTTACAGCACAGAAAGTCCACTGACTACCATGGAGTCCATTCTAATTCAGGCCAATGTGAGGCAGAGAATAACCATGGGCTGTATCTGTGAGCTGGAACTGCCAGGCTCTACTCTGACAGGGGCCAAGGGGCTTCAGCAGTGGATGGCTGGGAACTGCAGCTACACTGCAGCCAGAAGGTAATGGGAAGAGCTAGTGGTACAGATGCAATTCCCAGCTACCACCTAGTCACAATGGAGCTCATCACTGCCAGGTTCCAGTACAGGTGCAGGTGAACCCCCTTGCTGCTGAAACAACAAGACCTCCTAGCTCTGCACACCAGATCATGAGGTTCTGCAGTCTGGATCTGGCCTGCAGGCCATATGTTGCCAACCCCTAATTTAGGAACAGGCCTCCAAGCACTTATAACTCACCCAGACTTCAGGACCATCTTTGAGATCTTGATTCCAAACCCTAGAAGCATTAGACCTCTCCAAATAAATTTAAGTAGCAAACAACTATGCCTCTAATCTAGTTCTTGGAAAAAGCTGAACTGTTCTTGCCAACACGGGAAAAGAAAACAATACCAAAAACCCTGAAACCATATAAATAGAAAATTAGGGTTGGAAGGGATCTCATGAGGTCATCTAGCCCAACCCCCTGCTCAAAGCAAGACCTTCCCCAACTAGATCATCCCAGCTAAAGCTTTTGTCTAGCCAAGTCTTGAAAGCCTCCAAGGATAGAGATTCCACCATCTCTCTGGGTGACCTGTTCCAGTGTTTTACTAACCTCCTAGTGAGAAAATATCTAACCTAAACTTCCTTTGCTGCAACTTGAGACCATTGCTCCTTGTTCTGTCATCACTGAGACTGGTCCAGCTCCATCCTCTTTTAAACCTCACACCCCCCTTCCAGTAGTTGAAGGCTGGTATTAAATCCCTGCCTCAGTCTTCTCTTCTCTAGACTAAATAAGCCCAGTTCCCTCAGCCTCTCCTCATAAATCAAAAGAAGTAGAAAAGTAACAGAATGTCACTCCGCAGAGATACAAGGCAAGTGAAACAGTATTAGTATTAGACAACATTAACTATAGGCTCAAGCAAAAGCACTTGAAGTTGGAACATGACAAAAGTTTTAAACCGAATTAAATTACTGTGTGCATATTCAGAATAGTTGAGTTACTGAGATTAATCCAAGACAAAACTTCAACCATGGAGTGACATTCCAGTAAATACAAATAGCAAGTATAGCTGATGACAGTACATAACAATGTAAAGTGATCAACAGTAAGAAGCTGAAATTTCCTTTCAGATTTCTCCTGGGTTTGTAAACCTATATGGTCTAAATGATTTAAAGTAGCAGAAAATTATATCAGCTGAAAAGGAATTTATGGTGTCAAGGAAATAACTTATTTTATCTCCTTTCTCCAATTGGTAGGAAACACCTGCACCGACATATAGCTCAGAAGTCTAAAATGCTTCTGAATACACTTGAAGACAATAGAAAAAGTAGAAACTGGCAATAAGGACATCTTGCCGGAAAAAAGTATTGAGGAACCTTACAGAATGTGACATCCCCAAAAGGAAGTCCATCTACTTGTATATAATGTATATGTGGATATCATCCCATTTGCAAATCAAAGATGGACAACATTTCTGCATGTTATTTGTGAGGCATTTCAGAAACTAACAGAAAATTCAAAATGAAACTATTGTGTGCGCAAAATGGGGGGGGGGGGGAAAGGAGGAGAGAGTGTATGGCAACCCCAATTTTGTTGCAAATTCACACCTAACAAAAGGAGCAGGATAGGTCTAGTGTACTGGTGGGGAGAGGAATTGGGCAAAATGTAGGCTAAATATCAGGATTTTTTTTTAAACTGTAAGGAGAGTGAACAGGTAACCTAGGGAAGTTGTGAAGGTGTCCTTTTGTGCCAGACTATAGTTTTGCTATATTTCTGGGGTGCCTGGTAGATGTTACACTTAAGACGCGACAGACCATTTAATCATGTCTCAAGCAGTAACGTAGCCACACTTTCATGTTATTAATTGCATAATAAATCCGGGAATAGTCACATATTTTGTGTAATAACTTTGTGACTGGTTCCCATTATGTCTTAATTTGAATGTGTGGCCAGTACCAATCAGCTGACTGCTGCACCCAGACTCAGGAAAACACTGGAGTGAAGGGCGACATGTGCTCCTGAGGCTGGGAGCACTTATCAGCTGACTCCTGTTTCCAGCCTCAAGAGCAGATCAGCTGACTGAAACTTTGAGACTGGTGCACAAGGCACCTGGTTTACTAACTGCCAGTGGAGAGGGAGCCCAGGGATTATGATCTCAGGCTCTCACTGCACCAGCATTAGGGAACGGTTGGGATCTGAACACCAACCTACCACAGGAAACTGGTGCAGCTTTAGTCAAGGCGGGCATGTGCCCCTGCCCGCCTCCACAACCAGTCCCGCCAACTGGGTGGGGAGGGAGTCCCCCCACAGCTGATCCTGTCAACTGGGGGGGGGGTGCTGCCTGGGAGGGAGTCCCCCTGTGTACTCCTTATGCGTCACCACTGTAACCTACAGTCACACCTCATACTATGCACCTGTAGCATGGCAGGAGGCACAACTGTTGGAACTGTGGATCAGATCCCATCACACCATTAATAGAATGTCTGCCAGGGGCCCAAGTTAAACATGTTCGTGTTGCAGCAATGTTGCATGCCTCCATGAATAACCTGTACAAAAAGTTAAGGAGTTAAGAGACAGGAGGCAGCATTGCTGGCTTAAGTGACAAAAGATGCATCAAATCAACAAGGAACTGAACAGCTGTGGTGATGCTTCATTTGGGCTTGGTACACATTATTTGGTGGTGATGGTGGGGGGAAATCCCGGGAAGAAACAAAGAGGTAAGCATTACAATCAGTGGAGCAGCTGGGGAAAAAAAAAAAGCACAGTGTCCACCTGGAATCAGGGAAATCTGAAGAATGGAAACGGTAAATCTACTCAAGTACTCAAAGCTATGCAGGCTGGAGAGAAAACAGTTGAGCTAGTTTTATAATGTTCAAAACCATACATGGAGCATTAGGGACAGAGGTACCATTTAACCCTTTGGAGGAAGCAGGATCTTCCTGCTGTGTGGTTTTTGCCCCCACTAAATACCTTTATTGAAGGAATGGTTGGCCTTGCTGAGGACCCTTGGGTGCACTCTTTTCCCCTCTGAAGAGAGGACAATGCCCTCTCAAAAAGTGAACTGGAAGGTAGTTCCCCAAGGTAAGGCTATAACCAGAGGGGAAGAAGGGGGTACATGGCTGGGGTTTCAAGAGTCAGGAGCCAGGACTTCCTCCTAGTCTATAAGCCACACCTGGGCTGACTTTAGAGACCAGACAAAGATTGCTGGGCTCCCAAGATTGCTGAGAGAGGGGGTGAGGGGAGGAAGGGAAGAATCCATAACAACTTCTTCGGAGGTTTTTAAAGAAGAGGTTTGTCAGACATCTCTCAGGGTTTACCTAGATGTACTTGGACTGCCAAAATGCAGGGAAATGCAGTAGATTACCTTTATGAGGACTCTTTCAGCATTACATTTTTATGATTCTTTGTAGAACCACTTGGCTTGGTATTCCTGCTAAACACTACCAAGTAAGGAGTAAGGAATATGCTATCACTTTACAGTTCTCTAATTTTGTCTAGGAGGAAGTCAGAAGTATGTGGCTTCAGTTCAATACCAAATTAATATGGTGGCAGTTACAGGAAGTTCCTTGAATTGAGGTTACATTTTACCACTGAGCTGTTCAATTATCCACTGCTGAACAACCCAGAGAAATGAACTTCTGTACTGCTGAATATCCTAGGTAGTCCTAAAAAACCACCGATTTCCACCATCAATAAATCAAACAAGTGAGATTTATGTATCACTCAGTCATTAGTCAGATAGTTATTTTATAGTTATACTGGGACAGGGAAAGCAATTTATTCTTGAATAAGAATAGATTTTGCCTACATACAGAGATGCCATATATTTTCAGATTTATTTTGCTTGCCAAAGCACAGAAGAGTTATGAAAGCTAAACTGAATTGCTCAACAACCCCCTACCCTCCCTTATTCTTTTGTTTAGGGAGGAAGGGACAGCAATTAAGGGAGAAGAGGATCGTATTGCCTACAGATCTCCAATCAAAATGGGTTAATGTCTAAACTAAACTAAAAGCTGACACTGAATTGTGACAAACATCCCAACATACCATTTATAAATGGTCAGAGATACCATTTATAAATGGTCTTGTATTTTACCTTAGGGTGCATTTTTTTTTTTTTTTTAATACCCACTTCCTCACAGCCACATCCTCCAGCTGTGAGTGTCAAACATGGGCCACCATATATAATATGTCAAGCTGAGCAAGAGAATAAAATGTATGTGGTGTTAAAAAGCTATACACAATATATAGTATACAATATATTTTGAAAACATGCTTCATGAAATAATTTCTGAAAACATGGCAAGTAATTTTGCACCCACATGTGCCTAGGTGCCTGGCCTTAAAAATCACAGAATCAAAGAAAATTAGGGCTGGAAGGGACCTCAGGAGGTCATCTAGTTCTACCCCCTGCTCAAAGCAGGACCATCCCTGATTACATTGTCCCAGACTTAACATTTGAACTCATTCAAGCAAGTGTTAGTATTAATTTGTTGTACATTTAAGCAAAAACCAGCTTAGATTTGTATACTTCCATCTATGAAAAGTAAATAGAATAAAAAATTTAGAACCAAGTCAAAATTGTTTAGCATAAATATAATCAGTATTTTTAAACTTTTAGAGAAATCAAGCTTACCTGTGTCTGTAAAAGACTGGATATCATATGTAAGATCAACACTTAGATTTTCAGAATTTTCAGTTTTCTTAAACACTAACCCAATCACCCACATTGTACGAAATTCTTCCCTGCAGAGTTGCACAAAAAGTCATGTAATATTTTAGAAAACTGAATTAAAAAGTATTCATATCAATCATACAACTCATATTGCATGTTTTATCTAACTGCAGTTAAACATGATTCTATTTTCATGGCAGTGATACCAAGGTATAAGACATTTAAAATATCCAAGAATCCAAATGGTGCTTGACAAATCATAAACAAGCTGTCAGTTTTTTAAACTGCCTACTAGTCAGCTTCACTGACTTAAAAAGCAAGCCTTGATGTTTTATACTGCTTGGCTTAGACTGATTTTTTTTTTTTTTTAATTCTCAGGTTTAGTTTGCTTATACACAAAGATTTCAAACTTATCTCTCTCATCATAATCTATATAAACAAGCTACAATAATCGCACTGAACTTGAACACACTTCTTCGGCAATATGAACTCAGAGACCTCTAACAATTAACAAGTGTTGGGGGCCACGCATGCATTCTGATTCTACCAAAGCAGTGGACCTTGGGCCCAACTGCCCTCCTTTATTTCCCCACTTAAGGATGCTCAAAAACCCTTGAAGCTCGAGAGGATGAGTACTGTTAAGGGGCTATCTTTGAAATCTATTAAAAACCACATAAAGCTACTAGTAAGCAAGCTCTTTCAAGCACTGCTATATAGAGTCTCCCACTGTTGGACAAATAATTGGCCATTACAATCTACAGAGGAGATGGGTCTATTTTAAAGACTTGCAAAACTGCTCTTACAAAATAGAACTAAATGATACATTAAGATGGCAACATTTATGGACTGAGCAACGCAAGTGATAATAGACTATTTCCCAAATCTGCTATAAAGAACTCTTTCATCATGCATGTTTGACCTACACAATATTCCTGAGGTTTGAACATTAAGTGTAACCCAGAGTAATAACCTTTAGGGAAACACCCAGTCAGTTCATTGTTAACCAGTCAGGAAAGCAAAATAGTAAAACAAACTCAAGCTACTTTGAATCATTCTTAAAATCACAGACTTCCTTCTTTCCTACAGGTTTCAGTTCGGAATTTCTCAAATTAGTCATTGGCTCTTTCAAGCAGCGAAACTAGTAACTACATACGTATTTCAAAATCCAAATCTAGCCACTTAAATCAGCCTCTGACTCTATGGCTTGCCTTGTAGAGCCACTGCAGAATTAAAACTATGTTTACCAACTTAGAGTAAGTTGATACTGTACTTGCCAAACTGCAATACAAAAATTGAGCATCAACAGCAGTATTTTCAAGTATGGTGTGCAGTATGCTCTGTGCATCATTAATGCATTTCCTATTGTTATACAAGTTCATCTGTATGCAAGACTTATTTTTAGAAAAGGTGATTCCTACCTATACAACCAATTTCTGGGGACAATTTTATGTTAGTACAGGGGTTGGCAACCCCGTCTCACGTGCCCAGCATGGCACGTGAGGCCATTTTGCTTGGCACGCCACGGCCAGCCCCAGCTCCAGGAAGCTGCTGCCAGTGATGGAACCCGGGCTGCTTCGAGCAGGGCTTGCAGCGTCCCAGCTGCCTGCTGGGAGCAGCCTGGGATCCCAGTCAGCAGCAACTCCCCAGAACCGGGGCGGCTGCAGCTGGGAGGCTCCAAACAGCTGTGCCAGGCTCCGGCTCCGCATGAGCAGGCGCACCTCCGAGCAGGTGGTGGGGGTGGGGCCCGAGGCAGCCCAGTCCCAGTCTCTCCCCTGCTTCTGGCATGGAGGTGCAGCGGGCTGGCTGCAAACAACTGTGCTGGGCTCATCACCCCCGTGCCGGGAGCGGGGGAAGAGACCAGAGCTGCCGTGCCTTGGGCCCCATCCCCAATGAGGCATGCCTGCTCGTGCCGATGCAGAGCTGGTGCTAGAGCCTGGCACGGTTGTTTGGAGCATCCCGGCTGCAGCTGCCCCAGCTCTGGGGAGCTGCTGCCAGCCAGAATCCTGGGCTGCTCCCAGCAGGCAGCTGCAAGCCGTGCTTGGAGCAGCCCAGGCTCCAGCAGCTACCCAGAGGTGGGGTAGCTGCTGGCAGCCACAGAGCCCGGACCAGAGGCAGCAGGGCTTGGGGGCAAGGGGCACAAGCAGGGCATCCTGCCATGTACCCCTTGCCCTCATTTTGTTTCTCTGCCATGCTGGCACTCTGGCACCTTCTGAGGTAGGCATTGTGGTGTTTTTCGGCACTCTAGCCAAAAAGCATTACCTACCCCTGGTGTTAGTATAACACATTAAAAATTTATCTGCATCAGAA